CAGTCCCCACGTGGCCTCCTGAGCCAGCCCCTTATTGTTATTTTTTTAATACATACACTTGTTAGTGACTTTTATGGAATGTTATTAGAGATGTGAGGAAATAATTCCTAATTATGCCTTGCTGTAGTCATTTCATTCCACTAAAAACAAATACTTAAAATTAAAAAGAATGAACAGTTTCTGTGGTTTGGAGATAGATACTGAACTATTTACAGATGAAATGATATGATATCTGGGATATGCTTAAAAATTATCCAGGTTGTCTGGAAGAGGGGTGAGTGGGTGGGGCTATAGGTGGAACAAGAGTAGCCATGAATTGATAATTCTTGAAGCTTAGTGATGGGCCCATGAGAGCTCATTATAATATTTTCTATTTTTGAATATTTTTGGAATTTTCTATAATAAAAAATCTAAATGATATTTCCATAGGAAGGAGCTCAAGTTTTTTTCCTCAAGAAAAATTATGGTAATCAGTTTTCATTGTAAGCATATGTTCTTTAAGTTATAAATCATGAGTCAGAAAATGTTAATCCAGTTTGGGGTTGACAGACTAATAATGATGATGATGATGATGATGAAAATACCAATAGTAGCTTCTACTTAATTGAGTACCAACAGTATGTCACATGCTTTGCACATTTATTTATTCCTTAAGAGGACTATGTAGGTTAAGTATTTTTATCCTTACTTTGTAGATGAATAAACTGAGACTTAAGAGATTAAATTACTCGTGAAAGGCTACATGCTCTATGACAGAAATGAGGTATCCAGGTTCCAAGGCTGATTCTTACGCTTTCTCTCTTTAATTTATAAAGAGACTACACTTAGTGAGGCACTTGGGCTGGAACCCTGAATTTAATTAATTTGAACAGGACGGAACCTTAGAGATGCTTTAGTCAAAGGTGGCAAGAGGATGACATGCCTACCCTCTGCTCCCATGCCCATGGTGCAGACATTGCTAATGGATTGTGGCACTTTCCCATACTGGCTGAGAATCCCACTCAGCACAGTACCCCAGACAGCTCAACTGGCTCCGAGTTGACATCATATAGAAGCCTATTCATCACCTCTTCTCTATCTCACCACCCTACCAGATGGGAAAACTGAGACCCAGAGGGAGGTGGGACTCACTCAAGACCTCACAGCTCATAGGTGGCAAAGGACTCATTTCTCTTGACATAGGGCCAGGGCCCCTTCCAGGTCAAACAGTCTATGATTCTGCATGTATTACTATGTGGAAACTGCTTAGAAGAATGCCTGGCACATGCTAAATACTGGATCAGTCTTGGCTATTATTATTATAAGGAGTGAAAACTTAAAAGATATCTACTCTAAAAAGTACGAGCTGTGAAAAAAGCCAGGTCAGTTTGCAAAGCATCTGCCAGTTTCCTAAAATGGTAACAGAGCCCTGGGCTGAAGCTGGCCACATGGCTGCACCTGCAGGTCCCAGGGCCCCCAGCAGCACAGGCTCCTCAGCCTTTGGTCCGCAGTCAATGCTCTGCAGGAACATGCTTGGAAGGCAGCCTTCTGAGGGCTCTGTCCTGTCCAGAGGGATGATGCGAAGTGGCCAACCTTTGTGTCACCTTTGTGTAGCCCCAGCAGCACCACCAGCCTCCCCTTGCCCAGGCTTAGCAGACCCATCAACTACTTGGTAGACTCGCTGAGTTCCTGCTCTGCAATGACACCCAAACTGGGGCTTCTCTCATGACCTCAGGTCTCCCTCCCCTCCTTTGAAGACTTTTGAATCCTTGGATGACTCTGACCAACATTATTTCCACCACTCACAGCAGAATTTTCATGCACACATAAAGTGTGCTGTTCCCACGGCCTTTATTCTTGGGTGGTTTTGTGGGTTGGTTCTGCCTTCCCCAGGAGATCCAGGAATGATGCAGGTATTGTGAGTGGAATTTGTTTTTTTAAATTTGTGACTTAAACAGCTAATAGAAGCCCATGTAATTTGTGTGACAAGTGACAGCTTGTGTAAAGATAACTTACCCATATCCTGTTACACATTTGCATCCATTATGCTGGGCGAAGCCATTTGTCACTGGTAGACCATTAAGTCGTAGTCACCAGTGTTTTCTTGGATGAAAGGGTAATTATTTTTGCTGTTTGTTCGTAATTTATTAATAGTCAGTGAAGAACATTAGGGTAAAGGATTATTTCAAACAAAGTGACAAATCAAATGTGTGGAAGTCATAGTGATCTGCAGTTGATAAGAAAGCTATTTGTGTAAAGATAAACTTGAGTCTGGACTCTGCATGTGCTTATTACTGATGGGCATTTCAGATAAAATAGGTGCATGCAGAAGACTGAGCAGGAACTATGGGAAATGCCAGTAAATAGTTCCGCTTTGCACGGAAGCAGCTATGCTCTTGACTAAAAGCACAGGTTCCTATAAAGTTTATGTGCATGCGGGTATATGCAGAGTGATTCTAAGTGGCATGAGAATATTTCCTGTTTTAATAGTTATGTATTCATCTTAAATGTGCTAGGAAAACAGTATTACAACATACTAAACCCTTGATTCCTTGGATTATTTATTACTTATTTTGCTTAAGCTGAAGTTAAACTGGATATTTATGTTTTTAAAAAGTGATTTAAGAAAAACTGAGTCAAAGAAAAATAAGTAAATGACAGTAAAGTGGTGTTAAAATGTGACGAAAATTGAGATGATATGCAAAATAACGATGTTTAAGGAACATGGGACTAAAGACTGGTTCTCTTGGAAACTTGGGGTTAGCCTTTATTCACTGGGGAAGGCCCATGTCTTGACATTTTGTGTCTTAATTGAAATATCGGGGGCTCTTTCAGCATTCCACCTTTGCTTTAAATTTTCAGCATGTTATTACTCTTTAACTTGTGAAGCAAAGAACAAAACATAGTCTGGATTGTGATTCAGAGCAGGTATTGGGAGGAATCTACTGGATTTTTCTTCTGAGTGTGAGATGCAAAGATTAAAGTCCTGAGTGTGTAATCAGAGTAAAGGTGCGCTGAGGTTTTGTCTGAACTCTGCCCCCACCTCCTACTTGAGCCATCGGTGACCTTGACCTGGATCCATTTCCAGGTCTGTCACATGAGGGGTGGAGATGAAACCCAGGTTACCTTCCAGCCTGACTTCTTGATTCAGAGTTCTGGGAGACAGGAAAAGTGATGCCACCTTTAGTGGTATGATGTTCTGGGAAATTTAACGTGTTTCTTAGCTTTCTAAGAGGGCTACTAATAAACACTGTAAACCCAGCTGATCTCGTAAAATGGACTAGATGGCTTTCTTAAAGGGGACAACACTCATTTGGAATATAAATTTGGATGAGCTTATTAAAGCAGATTCAAGTGCCGTTTCTTCTCCATCACACCCAGGATCTTTTTGATAATTGGTTCCCTACCCCAGCTTAGAGAGAGGTTCAAACATGATTTCTCAAGTGAGGAGAACTCTAAAGCTGATTCTTGTGAAAAGAGAGGAAGTTAGTTAGAGGAATGAAAAAGACAATTCAATCAGAGTAACTTGGACCAACACCTGGAGATGAAAAAAAACACGATTCATTCAGGGAAATGCATGTATTCAGGATACAGCAAATGATCGTTGCCTTGCCTAGCTATGCCTACAGCAGTGCTCAAGGTAGACTGGTGTTTGGCCAGGCTGCAGTACGTGGTTGTGGGAAGGGGGAAGGTGAGAGAGGTGGACGAGCAGGACTGGCTCGTCAAGAACTTGTGAAGGGGCCTCAGAGGACTTGCTGAGGAGCTTGGACTTCCAGGGAGCCTCTAAACCCTGTCAGGAGGCAGTGGTTAAGAAAGCTTTGCTATTGGCAGAATTTTGGGAAAGATGGAGGCTTTGGGAAGTGCTCGCCCTTGCTGAAGGGGCCGGCTTCTAGATCTCCTCCAAGAGCTCAGTCCCTGTTGGGGCCTTTCCTGTGAGGGCATCTTTCTGAGTGAGGGGCAGAGCTCTTGAGCTGCTAATGATACATACCTTGTCTCTCTGGCTGGGGACAGGGGGGGCTGACGACTGCCCAGCGTGTGTTTCCAGTGCGCCACAGGTGCTGATTCACAAATCACACTTTATCCATCTATCTGTCTTTATTTATTTATTTATTTTGGTGAAACAGACTCTGCTCTTTGAGCTTCTCTGCTTGGACAAGGAAGCGCATATCTCAGGAGATATTTCTGTGGATTAAAACCATAGGTGTGCTTCCTCTGGCAAAAATTCTTCCCTTTGTAGCAAATTTGCAGAGACCATGTAAGGTATTATTCTAGTGACAAGCTGTTGTTCCTTCTGATGATTTTAGACACCAGCAGCTGGTTCTTTCCCATCAAGCAGATCTGGATAAACATTGCCAATTTGATGGAAGTGCAACATTGGAGTGCATGAGACAACTGCTGAGCTAGGCAGGCAGACAGGGCCCGGGCTTTCTAGAAAGTTAGCTACATTGTGGAGACGGGGTGAGGAACCTGGGAACACAGCCTCTTGCACTGTTTCACACAGCTATTTAAAACTGCAGTAAAAGGAGCCTCTCCTCCCCCAAACCCTAAATTTTAATTAAAAAAAGAGTTCCACCACCACTCTTCATTTTAGCTTTGCGTTTGACATGCATCCATTTGCAAAGTTTGAAGCAAAGGAAGATGCCTGTCTGGTGGACATGTTGGGCTGCCTCGGTTTGGAATCTGGCTCTGCTGCTCACCAGCGGTGGGGGCCGTGCAAATGGCTGAATAGCTCTGTATTCCCTTTCCCCTTTGTAAGCAGAATAATAATATACCTTCCTTACAGGATTTTGGAGACAATAAATTTAAAGAACTTGGTAGAGCTCTTGGTAAGCATTCAGTGAACAGTAGCTCTTGTTATTATCCAGCACACATTTTTTTTTGGTAACTATCACCCTCCTCCCACTCTCAACAGTGTAGTAACACCTACGTGTGTAGAGGACAGAGTTTAGGAAAGTGTGTTTTTTACAAACGTGAGCTCAACTGAAACTGGAAGTGAGGCAACTGTTGCTTCCGTTTTATAGGGGAGTAAACTCGAGTTGGAGCAGTTTGCTGATTTGACTGAGTCCTCAGAGCGAGTAAGAGAAGAATTGGCACAGACTTCAATCTTCCGTTGTGACCTTGTGCCTCCATCCTACCACAGCGTTGCTCTTACACAGGAATGTCTCTGAGGCCCTTCTCTGCTCTGTAAGTCACTCTGTAAGTGAACTATCTTTACTTCCAGGAATCAGACACCACCAGCCACCTGTGTCCTGACATGGGCACTAGCTGGGGCACTCCCGGTTTAACCTTATTCAGGGTCAGGCAGGCGGGCAAGAGTTGCTGGTGGGTGCGGCCAGTGCGAACTGACAGGGCTTTGCAGGGTTTGCTCCTGATGGTACCTGTGACAGCCTTGAGAATCCAAGCCCAGCATTCCCTCCCCTTTGAGTTCAGTCCTTGCTGTGGCGTGGCTGCCTTGAAATGGTGATGTACGGGTGACGTCTGCTTGGGCAGTGAGTGTGACTGAATCGTTGCAAGGGCAGCAACAGCTCTGGTGATGCCCCACAACCATCTCCGGCATAATTCACAGCAGGTGTAAGGTTTGGGCCTGGGATCATCCATACACCATCTCTCTTGGAAGATTCCTCAAGTCCGTGTCCTCCAGCATCGTTGTTTGTTGGTTCATCATGGTTTATGGAACTAGGTTACCTGTACATTGTGACCTGCAGGTTCCTTCTTGTTCCAATGGGCCTAAAATTCCATAGTTTGAGTTGTAGCTTAAATGCTCTTCCTTCATATGTGCAGAGACTAATTTTACTGCAACTGAAGACACCAGGATAAGCTGCTCTTGCAAACGTCCTGTGATGAGCAGAGACAGACCTGGGCTGTGAGCACGCCCACTGGGCTCACACCCTGGTCAGTGCACTGGGAAGCCGGGTGCTGCATCTCTGTGGCTGACAAGTCTTCTCGCCTGTGACAAGAGAACTGGAGTACGTCTAAGGCTCCTCAGCTTTGACTTCTATGACATTTCAGCAGTGGTTTAGGAATAATTTAGAAGAATCAATTGGAGCACTTGACTAAGACTGAGAGCTGGTAAGTTGTGGAGACACGAATATTTTTATTCTTCTAAAAATTTGTTTTGTAGCTACCAGGGATTGTAAAAACATAGCATTAACAGTTTCTATGTATTTTCTTTGCATAAAAGCTAAAGGGTTTTTCTAAATTAAAAATGTGTTTATTTTTATTTACTTCAGAAAATATTTTGAGAGGGGTTGTCATCCAGTCCAGAAGTTGCTGTGCCTGGTTTATGGTCAGAAAGACAGAAGGAAAGTTTAAAAGGTGCAGGACTCCGCCGTGTCTTCCCGACCTATGGGATCCGACTATCTGGGTTGTGGGGCCAGCAGTCTATAATTAGAACAAGCAGAATCAGACAAACTCTCTGGGTGATTCTGATGAACAGCCAGGTTTGGGAAATCCCTGCTAAGGTACCTGAGTTGTGTGATTTTGCTGGAGTTGGTTTCTAATTCCTAGCTCTGCCTTTCTCATTCCTGATTTTCCTGGTGCCTGAGGTGAGCCACGGAGAATAATCGGAGTTATGGATTCGTTAGTTGTAAAACACTTGGATGTGTGTTGGACAGGAAGCCCAGGCCTGTGCGAAGGACTGGGGATGGTTTCTCCAGTCTGTGTAGGCAGATCGCTTGGCTGCACATCACACCCTGGCTTTGGGGTCTGCTTCTTCCTCAGGGGCTCTGACCTCCCACTGGTGCCCCCTGAGCAAAGCCGCTCCTCCTCATACCATCAGCAGTCCCATCCCACTCAGATTGCTTTCTTCTATTTTCCAGGGTAACAGCTTTATTAAGATATAATTGACATACCATATGAGTCACTCATTTAAAGTGGATAATTCAGTGGTTTTTAGTGTATTGACAAATAATTGCAGTCATCTCCACAGTCAATTTTGGAACATTTTCATCACCCTACAAAGAAACCCTGTACCCTTTGGCTTCCATCCCCCATCCCGCCATCCCCCAGTACTAGGCAACCACTGATCTGCTTTCCTTTCTGTAGATTTGCCTGTTCTAGATGTCGCATAAAAATGGAATCATACAATACGTGGTCTTTTGTGTCTGCTTCTTTCACTTAGCATAATGTTGCCAAGGTTCATTCGTGTGGTAGCATGTGTCAATATCTCATTGCTTTTTATGGTCAGATAATATGCTATTGTATGAATATCCCACATTTTATTTATCCATTTATCCATTGATGGGCATTTGGATTGTTTCCACTTTTTGGCTATTATGAATAATGCTGTGTGAATATTTGTGTATAAATTTTTGTGTGTCTATATGTTTTCATTTCTCTTAAATATATACCTAGGTGGAGAGTGGTGGGTCATATGGTAACTATCAAACATTTTGAGGAACTGCCAGACCGTTTTCCAAAGTGGCTGTACCATTTTACATTCCCACCAGCAGTGTAGGAGGGTTCCAGTTTCTCCAGGTCCCTGTCAGCACTTATTTTCCCTTTAAAAAAAAATGATAGCCATCCTAATGAATATGGAGTGATATCTCATTGTGGTTTGCTTTCTTCCATTTTTAAGGTAATTCCTACCAAGTATAATCTATTTAATCCTTCCATAAAAGGTCTATATATATATATTTTTTTTGCTGAGGAAGATTAACCCCAAGCTAACATCTATTGCCAATCTTCCTCTTTTTGCTTGAGGAAGATTCACCTTGAGCTAACATCTGTTGCCAGTCTTCCTCTATTTTGTATATGGGCTGCCGCCACAGCATGGCTGACGAGTGGATCTGAACCTGTGAACCTGGGCCGCGGAAGCAGAGCATGTAAACTTAACCACTAGGCCATGGGGCTGGCCCCCAGGAAGGGACTTTTATAAAATCAAAATTAAATTTTAATTGTTCATTGTAAGAAGACTAGAAAATACAGGTAAACAAAAAGGTAGAACCCAGACCACCCCCAGTCCTACCAGCGAGGAAGAACCGGTGTCACGCTGTGGAGCATCTCTTGTTAGAATCCTTCCTGTGTCATACTTGCTTTTAAAAGAACTTTGTAGACTCAGTGAAGTCAATTGGTGGGATTACGGAGGAGATGTTTTTGAGCAAGAAGACCCATGGCCTTTCCCCTTCCCACTTGAGCTAAGACCAGGCTTGGGCCTCTGGGCTTCACCTGCAAAGGTTCTGACCTGGGTAGTAGATGGAGGAAGTGCCCTTCTTTCTGACTCCAGTGGTCCATTAAAAATGTGTCACCAAGTGAAGACTACCGATGCCACTTCGACTTTGAGTGTGGTCTTGGGGTGGGGTTGGGGATAGCTGGGTTCTCTCACATCCTGAACCTACGGAACTTCTGGCATGGCAGTGTGAGAGACATATATGTATTTTTCAAACATTGACCGCATTAGACTCATTCGATGAAGAAAAGGATAATGCATGGTGCAGTACCATCTTTGATAACTGTCCCCACATTTTTGAGTTGATTTAATTTTTCCTAACATAGCCAGCTAATTAAGAGTTGAATGGTAACTTCTTATTTTCATGACAACTCAAACTGTCCGAAGTTACCTGTGAACCGTGATTTCCATCTTAGAATGCACCCTCCCTCAGCAGCAGTGGCGTGCGAACTGGCAGCCTGGTTCCGAGGCCACCGCAGGTCTCTTTCAGTTCTGAGAATAAAACCTAGCTATTATGGGGCACTGACTAGGCGCCAAGCCTTTTATATGGATCATTTCATTTAATCCTCACGGCCACCTTCCAGGTGCGATCGATGTGTCACTATCCCATTGTCCCAGTACGGATGAGAAGACAGGCTCCACGACTTGGCTTGGAGTCTAGAGAGCTAGCGTTCTAGAAAATGGTGCTTGTCTGAGGCTTGTAACTGGAGGAAACAGGAAGCAGAGTGGCTGAGGAAGAAAGCTTTCTTATCCGGGCTGCTGGTGCTGTCCCCCTGCTTGAGGCCCCTTCTTCTGCTCTCTGTGGGACGTGGCACTGGCTGCGTCGGGGGCCGCCTCCGTCCTCCTGCCCCTGCTGCGCGAAGGAGGCTTAGAATCAGCGAGGAAAGCCTCTGCTGCTGGCTCCGCTCTCTAACGGCAGCCTTGGGCTAGTTAAGCACTTGTCCTGTGCCTGCACTTGAGGAGTGAGAGGGAAGCTAGGATTGTCTTAGTCCCTTCCCTTGATCTCCCTCCTCCTGCATCCCTCCCTCCCCATCAAGGGCAGAAGGTCCTGAGGGGGTGAAGAGCTGTGGCGAGAGAGGAGCCACCCCGCCCTGGGAGCCTCCTGAGAGGGTCCGTTGGCAGCTCTGGTGGGGAGCCCTTGGGAGGCAAGTGGGAGGGCCGGAGGATCTGGGGTAGCCCTTGGCAGGCGGCCGGGGACACGTTTGCTGCCAGCCCACTGTGCGCCAGGCACCGGGCGGGGCTCTTTATGGAGATTCTTTTGCGGTAAGAGCCGTTGTCATAAATAGCTAGATGAGTTGTTTGTTCTGGCCACCACTCAGTGAGGCGGGTGTTGTTTGGAACAAGGCTGTGCCGTCCCCACCTGATGGCGAGTGTGCAGGCTCACAGCGATGGGGTCGCCTGCTTAGCACAGCGCAGGCCCCAGCTGAAAGCCCGGGCTGCAGTTCTGCCTTGGTTCCAAAGGCCCTGTGAGGATACGTTTATTTTCTGGAGATTAGGATTCTAGGTCCAGCGCCCTCTTGTGGGGCCGTGGGGCAGGGTTGGAGTGAGCAGTCCGCCGGCCTAGGCGGAAGGAGCCAGGATGCTTGCCAGGGTGTTGAGAGCCTTGGCCTCAGGGGCAAGTGAAGGCTGCGGCGATGGCTGACTCCACTTCTCACCTTTTGCCAAAAACCAACTGGAGTGAGTCAAGAGTTTTAAGCAGTGTTTCTAAAGCTTTTGTCAAGCCTTTAGTGGTTAGGGACTTGGATTAGGGTCAGACTTCGGGCTATTTATATCAACTCCATTTACCTTTATTTGTGAGGAGGGGGAAATACTGCCCATTTGGTAAGGGTGTTGGGAGGATAATGCTCAGCACGAGGTAGACGGTCCAGAGGTGTTAGCTGTTACTCTCATCCCCACTCATCCCTTTCCTATACACTCTGGCTTCAAAGGGCTTCTTTGCCCCCCATGACCACCCACCCCCACCGAGACCCACTAGATTCAACTGTTTCATGGGAACTTCTTCAGGAAGTTCCTGGATTCTGCCTTTGGAGTTTGCTGGGAGACTCCTCTGCTGCCCTGGGTCCCCTTAGGCTGTGTGTAGCCTCCCCATGGACACCTATCTGAGGCCAGAGCTGTTCTATCAATTCTTTATTAAGACCAGTTATTTTTTATTTATGATGCTTGTGGGTTCATTAAAAATAGCACTCCCTTTTGGGGATACCAACAAGGCTTTTAGCCAGTTTTTATCAGGTTGTTAGAGTAGATATGAATATTTTAATAGAGAGAAAGAGCAAAGCCTTCAACAAACTTAATTTGTTCTAGAAGCTAAGTGACAGGCCTAACAGGGGTGCCAAGTAATTCAGTATAATCAGCTCGAATAGTGCAATAAGGAAGACAGTTGAATGGACAGGGAGCTTTTCCAGAGGGGCCACGGGGGCTTTTCCACCTCGAGCAACTGTGAATCACTGTATCGCTGGATTCTTTGAGTCCAGGTAAGATCTAGCACAGCCACAGGCAACTTCTAGGCCCAGTTAAGTTCCCGGGAAGCCGGGGGCAGTGTTTTTGCAGATTTCATTTTAACATTTATAGAATTCTTTTCATAAGATGCTGATCTTATTAAATTATGTACAGAATGATGGATAAGGCAGGTCACTGCTGCTCATCAAAAGTGTATTTGGGGCCTCAGACTTGGTTGCAATCTTAGATACAGGGGCTGGTTTCTTGGTGTAGTTTAAAAAATGTCCGCTTGGGGGAGCTTTATGATTGAATTTCAAAATCCATATCAGCTTTTATATGGATGTGAGATCCAGATGACTATGCCCCCCTCCCCACTCCGCCCACTACAGTGACAAGCTACTGAAGCAAGGAATGGTTGCAGATATACAATGATAAATCAGTGTGAGTGGTTTTACTTTATTGGCAA